TTGCCGGATTTCCAGAAAAAGACAACCCCAGTATCTCCCGAGAACTCATTGAGCGGTTCTTGGGTCGCAGATGGATTTGAAAGGAAGTAGTACGTACTTGGTAGTCGATCGCAGAGAATACAAGATCTTTTTCCTAATTGGGCGCTTGGACGAGTGGACATTGCGTAGGTTTGGCACTAGTGATTGCCGAACCCACTTTTTTTTTTACGCGGTCACGATATTCAACAGAATACGTTGACCTAGGGCATTGTCGCTATGACCGCCCAAAAAAACAAAGTTACATACAACGCAGACCGCTAGATATGAAGTATCAAGGAGTCGTGCCATCTGGCGTATTGGTATTTTCGTCTTCACTGCCCTCGCCGCCGCCAGCATTCCCATTCACCGCCCCGTTTGCTGCAGGTTGAGCTTCTGGATAATAGATAATAGACTCGAGATGCGCGAGAGCCGCCTGTGGGATGGGAGGCCAAGTTCTAGTATGGGGCATATCGGTTATCGTTGATGAAATCGCTGCGCACCCTCCCGACTTCGCTGAGTTCCTGATCCTCGTCGCCGGTGAACACCTCGAAACCTCCGCTATCCGGGTCGATAAACGCGTCCATGTCTTCTTCATCCGATGCAGTCGCCTTGTCGGGATGCAGAGCTGCACACCGAGACAGGGCCTCGAATATTGGTTCCACTGTCAGTTGGAATTAGATTTCCTTCATCGAAGAAACCGGGATAGACATACGGGACGCGGCACTTTGAGGTACGATGGAAAGTTCGCGCATGTCACTCATCTCGTCGTTAGAAGCAGCGCCCTCTGCTTCTCCGGCGTGTTCATCAAGCTGGCAATATATTGAGGGCCCGCTTGCGGCGCGAGATACCGCATGAAGTGTTATCGCGGGGTACTCGATTTGGAAACCGCCTCCAGTGGTAGACATGAACACTAGAACGCTGGAGTGAATAGTTTGGTGGTGCGAGAACAATAAAAGACACGAAACAAACCTCTCTATTATGTACAATGTGCCCTGAGTACCATCTTGCGCTGAAAAACCGTCCAACGGAGGGTCAAGCGTTACCGAGACGTTGTCCTCCTTGTGGCGCAGAACGGGAGGGATATCGGTGAAGGAGACGGGGGTTTCAGCTGCGATACTGGTGTGCTCTTCCCGGGAAACGAAATGAGGGACGCTAGTGATCAACGTTGCGGAGGGCATTTGGGTTTGGTTCGAGCGCTTAAAAGATCGTGATGTGTCAATGAGGGCCGGATTTACCCGGCATGTCATTTCGCCGTTCTCTCTCGCCATGATTTCTTCAGCTTTGGCACATATCATAAAGACAACTCGTGATAATCTGGAGTTTCTCATCTCTGAGAGACACATCTCCGTTGCCGACGGCACCACCATACAGGATATTTTGTCTAAACTCCCGAATGTCGACAGGTCCATGGTTGCTCTGGAGCAACGGACTCAGAATCTTCTCATAACTCCTCCTCCTTCAACGGCCCCTAGCTATAACCAGTCACAGATTGTGCAGGCGAAAGCTCTATGGGCTTTCAATGAGGGACGGGTTCGCTGTTTTCGTTACGTTGAATGCCACTCTATTTCACCAAGCCTCTAGGACTCAAGTGACCTGTCATTCCGAGCTGGCGATACGATAGAAATTGTTGCAGAAACAAATGCGGACTGGTTCGTGCTTCGGTTCGCTCCTTATATGTTGCTCGATTGTTCGTCCAGGTGGACCGGTCGACACAATGGCAAGCAAGGTCTATTCCCTTCCAACTATGTGGAAAAATTGCCACCTTCGGGACCCTCGCCGTATCAAGCGCGCGAGTCGTACTCGGGAAATCCCTCCATGCCTTCGTTCCCCAGCCAGCCTGCATACCAACCTCCAAGTGGACCTCCGTATCAACCGCCGTCTGGTCCTCAAGGTCCTTATTCTGGCCCAGGGTATCAACCACTTGGCCCAGGGTATCAACCACCTGGCCAGGGATATCAACCGCCTGGCGGCGGATATCAACCACCTTCCGGTGGATATCAGCCGGCGTACAACCCTCCGTCGGGCCCGCTTCAAGATGGACCGTACAACTCTTACAATGGTCCTCCTCCCATGATCGGGAAGCCGACCCAGGCGCCCCCCGCTGCTGCCCCAGCACCACAGCAACCTCCAAAGAAAGGCAAATTCGGTAACCTCGGAAATACGGTGGGTACTATCTCCGTTCCTCTCACTCAGCTGTTTTTAACGTGATCTATAGTTGGCTCAGTCGGCTGTTGGCGGTGTGGGTTTTGGCGCTGGTCGGTCTTTCTCTTTGTTGAAAAAGAAAACACATTTCTTATTTTTGTTCTACAGGTTCCGCCGTCGGTAGTGGCATCGTCAATGCTATCTTCTAATTTATGTGCGTTATAGACGTGGGCTTCTGTTTCAGTTCGGATTTGTATCACTACTTAACACTAGAGCAAACACGATGTATAGGTGTTCGACATATCTGCTAATTACAGCTCTTCAAAAAGGACGCCAACGCTCGCCTCGCCGGGCCGTCTTTCTCCCATGCCTTGGTCATCTCCGCCTTTAATCGCTCGACGTTCTCCCGCTTCTCTTTCCCAACATGCGTACGGAGCTGGTCTATCGTCTCCCGGATCTCCTTACCGACGGCTTGGCGGGTTCCTGCCGGGGTCGTGTCGCTCCCATAGGAAGGTTTCAGACCCAGGCCGGTCCTCACTTCTCTGAGTTCGAAGGCAACATTGAGGTTCTGCGTCAGGTGCTTTGCAGCCGAGGGTTGGTCGGCATCGAAGGGCCAGCAGATCCTTGAAAGACAGCGTCAACAAGGTCCGGGAGTTTTAACAGGGGGGTCAAATTAACAGTGGAACACCGCTGAAGAGAGCTTCCATAATGCCTCCGTGGCCGCCGTGAGTGAGGAACCATCCGGTGGCCTAGAAGGAAGTGAGTCTACTTGGAAGGGATACTCGTATTGACGAACAAGATGGTTCAGGATGAACTGCTGTGGGGACCACGTCGCAAGCATCCCAATGCCGGAGTTTTCGATTTTATGCGATAGTTCCTTGGAGATTTTCGCAAATGGTGAGGCATGGCAGAGTATCTGGGACATTATGAACATAAGACGCCCTGAATTGCGCGAGACATACGAAGGGGACAGTCTTCTCAATAAACGCCTCCACAACTTCGTCGACATATTCGCCTACAGTCGGCCAAAAGACCGTCCCGAACGAAATCTAACCAAAGGTTAAGCTGCTTTCTTTTCCGTCCCCAGGTTACGTACAAAAACAACGGAATGTTCGCCGTGCTGTGCGTGCATTTCATCCAAAAATCTCTTGAATATCACGTCGGCTGGAGCGATTTGTGGACCATACTCGGATGTTGGAGGGAGCAACGGCCCAACTGCATAGAGTGGTTTCGAGAGAGTAGCGAAATACGAGTCCAGAGCTTTGACAGAAATCGTTTCGTAGGCTTCGGCGGTGGAGATTATGATTCCGTCACATTCCATCAGGAACCTGTGGACGTTAGAATATTGGGACGAAATCTAAAATCCCATGTACTAACGTATAGCCACCCCGGACAATAGGTGAAACCGGCGCTTCGAAAGGGAGCTGGAAATATGTATATCAGTCGGCGAGCCATGAATTAGCAGGGCAAATGTAAAACCTTTTGCGGGAAGAACTCCCAATCGTACATCGGCGGCAAACCAGGCACGTTGATCACTTTTCCTTCGGTGTGCTTGAAAACCTACATTCATGACCTAGTGAGACTATAGCGGCTCGGAAAATAAAACCACGAACCCTGTCTCCAATCTCCCCAGGATTTTCCCCACTCCGTTGCGCTTCGGCATCGATCCTGGCACCAAAGTCACCCAGCCCTCCAAGCGATTCGGGACCAAAAAGTCGAAGGATGGCGCTTGCACCGCCGGTAACCCATGCCATAATCGAAACAGAAGCTCCGCTGAGAGCCCGAGTGGCTTGCATTTGAGGAACGCCGAAGAACTGAGCGCCAGGGTTACATTTGGGTCGGTATGGTTGAAAACTTCCTTACATCCAGTACGACCGCGGCAGGAGCAGGAGCGGCCTCGAAGATTCTTCCGGTGGTAGCACATTTTATCGGCTTCTGTTGATACAACGTTTCGTATGCCGCTGGGTACGACTCGGCGAATGGCTTGATCAATTGAAATATTTGGGTCTCAGGTGAATCGAACATGGATACCATTCTTTTTGCGTGGTGAATGAAAGCGGGGTGAATAAGACATTCACTGCAGCCTACCGGATCCGAAGAAGACCTTCATGGCCGCTAGGAAACTGATCCGAAATCTCGGATGCGGCCTTCTCGAGCAAGTTTGGTGCCATGAGGATGGTGACGACGTTCCCTTCTGCTGCAATGCGCCCCGCAAGCACACAAATCGGCCTGACATGCCCTGGCCGATCAAGGATGAGTACACCGCTGCTGTCCTGGGTTCAGGTCGGTTGATGTCTTACCCCAGCTCGGCAACGGGACCAGCAAGAAATGAGGACGTTCCATAATATGCGGTGAAGGAAATATGGGAGGGTCTCATGGGCCGTGACATGGTTTTTAAAAGACCGCGGGGGTGCAGTAAAGGCCGCGACGGGGGTGCAGTAAAGGCCGTGATGGTGCGTTAGTGTAAAGATCCCAAGACAGTCCTGGTGCGCCATGTTGGGATTCCACGAGAACAATAGTCTCTCCGGTCGCCTGTGCAAGAAAGCCTTCTGGCTTACTGTAAGAGACAATTTCAAGTTTAACTTCCCCGAAATTTACATCGCATTAGTGAGTGGGCGGTAAGATTCGTGCTTCCATAAAAAGGGGGCCCGAGCGGTTGGATGGCAGCACCTACGAGCAGTGGTGGAGATCTGATATTTGCCTCCAAGTTCAAGGTCGTGGCGGAGGTACCAAGGCCCTCCGGGCACCCCTGATTAACACTTGCTACAATACGAGACTTGAAAGCTTTTTTCCCTAAAGGCGAGACGTACCTTAGCACTAAAATGGTACATATTCCCATCGCGCGAGTGGTGTATCGGTAACATTGGGTCTTCCCAACTTTCTAATTTGAACTGGCCTAGCACCGGGTTCGACTCCCGGCTCGCGCACTCTGTTTTTCTTGATTTTTTCCTATACCGTCACTTCTCTTACCTGCGCCTAGTTGCGCGGAAACTTATCTTGATGCGCATAGGATAGCTAAAACCAACTTGTGTCTTTCCAGGGAGCTCATGATTTATACACTTGGCATTATTCGTTCTATGGCCTAGAATACGCAGCGGATTCACAGCTGGATTCACTCGAGGTAATCATTAACCACTGCTGCCTAGAGCTAGCGACAACGAGGCCACAAAATCCGGGCTTTGCAGGTATTCGCACCATTCTGGCCAGTCTAAACGGGTTCCATATGCGTGGCGCTCGATGTTTTCGGACTGAGACCGGCTAGCAGCGAGACTTTGCACGCGAGTGTAGGAAATCACTCCTTGCACGTGCACCGCCATGCGCACTTTTCCACTCTCTCCCGGCTTCAATGTCGTCGTATACGGGCTAAACCGAAACGGCCGCCTAGGGGCGCCTCGAGTCGTATTGTTGTTGCTAACACGTACCCATCCGATTCGGACCCACAACGTTACGGCACGACCTGCAATATACACTTGTCGCGGTGGCGCGGTGCGAATACCGCGCGCGTTTGGCGGGCGCTATACGGATATGGATACGCGAACGCGAACGAAACCCCTCCTACTTCGAGCGTACAGGTGGTAACTTACTCGCAACCCGTGGGCGGGCTGCAGGCGTGATTCGCATCCACCTGCTCATCGTCCGAATTCATGAGGCGCGATGATAATCTGTTGACGAGCCTCACTGGTTGACTTTTCGGCGGAGATGTGGCGCGTTCTTCGATCTTCAATTCTTTTCTGGCATCGGCTGGACGACAGCGAACCCACGCAAGCTCACCCCTCGCTTATTCGACACCGAGTCTTTTTTTTCTTTTGCTCGTACTCCCTGCACTGGCATACAAATGGTCAGGTTAAAAGTTCTGAATCGCGGCGTTCATCGCACATTTATATTAAGGTTTTCTCTTGGCCACACAACCTGGCAGCAATAAACACCTCCATGGGCGTAGCAAAGCATCTTCCATCCGAAATGGAAGGGACCCACACAAGACCCTGTTGCGTTCAACGAATGTTTCCCCTGTTTCCCGTGTTCTCGCCTATCGCTGGCCGTTGCTGACCCTTGCTCATCCCAGCGCCTCTTGCAACATGCTCCTAAAATATTGAATTACTATGTTTGTCAACGCTCTCTGGGTTCCCGCTCCAGCGCCTACTGCTAAACATCCTTCGCCCTAAATACCGAACCAGTTTCTGGGTTCCCGCGTCCCTCGCAGATCCTCTGACCCGTCTCCCGTCTCCCATCGCCCTCTCCATCGTACCTCCATCAGTCTCCGTCCCGCGATATCTGTCTTTTCGCCGCCAGTCGCGGGGCTCGGGCAGTGGCGGCGTCCGACCCGAGCGCGTCCGCAGTTCAAGTTGCGCTTCTTCTTCAAGAACCCGACGTCGCTAATACCTAGTTGAAGAAACTCTGACGGTTCTGTGTTCAACCTCAGCTGGTTCAACCCGTGTTCAACTGTACGATGCTAGGTATTTTCAGGAAATTTAAGCATGGATGTATACCAGGACCCAGAGTAACACTGTTTAGCAGCTCAAGACGTGTACCAAAGGCGACTCAATGTCAAATTAGAGACCGTACTATGTCCTCTGGCAGAATTAGTGACGGAGCGGCGGCCATTGTGGACAACAGGCGAAAAATCGGCGGCCGACGGTTGGATGTATCAAGCCGTCACTGCCAACTAGGGGACCGAGTAGTGCACCGGACTACGAACAAAACGCTTGGAGGCACAAAGGAGGATAAAATAATGGGGTCAGAATTGGCAAGTCGAGTTGGGAGCGCACTTTGGGGTGCGCGTTGATGGGCCTGCCGACAGAGTCTGGGTTTCGCCCTTTCGGATTCGGGGTCGACGGGCATGCGCAGAGCTTGAGGATCAATAATCACGCGCCAGTTAGACGCAATGTTGAGATGTTGAGACTTGAGAGTCGCCAGATTAATGATGCGCTCCATTGCAAGGCACGAACATCCATTGGGGGTAAAATTAGGTTTGCGATGAATATTTTTCCGGCGGGGAGTGGTGGTCACGCTGGCTGGCGGCCGACCGCGCCTGGAGGCGATAAGAGATGGAAACTTTGCGACATCGGTCGCGTCTCAATAAAAAAAAGAGCTCTTTGGGGCCCCTAAATGGCACGCAATGGCATGAGAACACAGTGCACTCGATCGAGTTGCTGCTTGGTTGTGTGGTTATGCTGTTTCATAGTAGATTTTGGTGTGACTGAGGCCGGATTGGGATGGAAATTGATGGCCCGATCTTCAAGTTGGAATCTCGATCAGGCGGCAGGTCGGGCCAACTCCTTTTATATGTGCCGCTTGCCTCCAGTCGTCCTCACACACAATGTCCTCCAAGCGTGGCCGCAAACGCAACGACAACCTCCCCCCCAACCGTGCCCGCGACGTCCAACGCGCCTTCCGCGCCCGCCGTGCTGCCCACCTCCAGGTCTCTATTTCACCTTCATCATCATTGAGGGGTATTTGACTTTCGAAATCTATATAATAGGCCTTGGAGCAGCGTGTAGCCGAGCTTGAGGAAGAGAACAGCTGTTTCCGACAGGCGCTCAACCTTCCCCAAGCAAATCGCCCCCTTCTTGGCAAGGGCCCGACTGGCAAGGACAAGCCAAAAACCGACTATGAGAACCACCATCCACTTCACTCCAGTCGTGAGTCTTCAACCGACTCGCCCGGCTCAATGCGCGAATCCGAGTCTCCCAACCTCGTTTCCGCGACGCTGCCACCACGCGAGGCCGTGCAGGAGATCGAGGACGGCACCGGACCTTGGGGGCAAACGATTGTCATGACCGAGGAGATTCCCCAGTACCAACCCTTGTCCGCGCCCCCAACAATATCCACCAAGAACCCGTACTCTCCACCATATCCCTCCTCACGTTCTTCCTCCCTCGCACCAATGTACATGTACAACGCGACCAACGACCGTGGCCTTCCGGCGTATCAGGGACACTTTGAGCACCAGCAGCCACAGCACCAGCAGCCGCCGCAGCGCTCATATTCATATTCCTCGCCCCACGACTCCGAAGGCCAGCAGCATCCCTTCCGCGACTCCATGCCCACGCCCGCTCCCGAAAGCGCGCCCGTATATCCTCCACAACGGCGGAGTACGGCCGGTGACCTGCATATGCTGGGCGGTACACACTACGCGCACATCCGACTGCCGTCCCCCCCGCGCGTACTGCTGGAGCCGCTGGACCTGGGGCACGGGCACGGGCATCACTCGCAGCACGACCCGCACTCGCACCACCGCCCAGCGTACACCCCCGACGGACACATAATATCGTAGGGCGTCTGCGCGCCTCCGCGCTGTGCTGTGGCTGGCTGGCCGTCCGCTTGGTGCCGGGTGCGATGCCTCGCTCGTGTCGGCGTTGATGCACTGCCTACCCCTCCGCTCCTGGCCTGTCGGCGCCCCCGCCCTGAATTTTTGTATCACTATCACTCAACTATTAGTACCAGCTAGATGTACCTGTACACGCGAGCTCTAGTTTAGCATACCGAATTAACTACAATATTGGAGAATAAAATGCAGGCCGCGACTGCCTGATTTAATGTCATTTTTCTGGCTGAACCTGGGGTTCTTGCGGGGAAGGGAACGACACAAAGCGTGGGAAGAGCGTGGGAAAAACGAGGCTTCGGTTGGTTCTTTTTCGAAGACACCGCCAGTGATAGAAAACTTTAGAAGCTCGAATAGGATCACGAACTCTATCATTACTGAAGGTTAACTAGGCTCGATCGCACTTACCTTGTTCTCCGGAGGTTCCAAACATTCCGAATCAACTCTGCACGCGAGGCCAGGTTTACGATTGCTGAGACAACGCGCAACGCAACTCGTAGGGCGCAGGCAACCGATGACGGAACGCGGATGACATGCGCACAACTTACGGCGTCGATCAGGCACCCCAGGCTTGTTTGGGTATCATTCGCGTTTGGACACGGCCCGATTGGGCCGGAAGCTGTAGGGGTTAAGATCCGCCTTGCAGAGAGTTGCCAGAGACAGCGACGCCAGGCGACGCCTCGGCCGTCGCCTCGAAGATCTGCATTTTGACGCGTCTTCGCGTACCGTACGCGTTCATCACCATTGTCTCAAAACCTCACCATCTGCACAACTGCACAACCGCACATCCATTCAATTAACGCCAAGCGACGGATAAGTCTACAAGCGCCTACGGCGTATGGAAGAAAATGAAGATCTGCGTCGCAAAGTGCTCCCGGCGGCTACATGTTCCGCGTCGGAAAAACACAAGTGTTGAAGGTCTGCAACACTTCAGGTTCAGATATGACAATAGAAACGCGTCGCGTCGCTCCACAAAGTTTCGAAAGCGCGACGTATGTACATTAATATCAAATTACTAAAGATCCCACATCGATATACCTCCCGTTTTTCACTTGGATGCACTACAACTTCCCCCAATCAATCCCCCCACCTTCCCCATACCTCCCCTCCAGCCACTCATTCGCCTTCTTGAAATGCCCGTTCCCAAAGAACCCTCTGTCGGCACTCTTGGGCGACGGGTGCGCTGACTTGAGTATAAGATGTTTCCCCGCATCCAGCCCCGTAACGCGTTTCGCCGCCTTGGCCCCCCACGCCATAACCACGACCCCGCGCCCTACGCCCGGCGCGCTCTCCCCTGGCCGCGCGAGTGCGGCGCCGCCGTATCTGTCGACCACTTGCATGACGCGCTCGGTGAACGTCTCCCAGCCGCGTTCAGCGTGCGAGTCGGACTGGCCCGCGCGCACAGTGAGGACGGTGTTGAGGAGGAGGACGCCCTGGGCAGCCCAACCTGCGAGGTGCCCGTGCCGGGGTGGCGTGAAGGAAGGGTATTCGCTGCGAAGTTGTTGATAGATCTGTGTGAAATGGGTCAGCAGTGGTCAAAATAGAAGCGAGATTGCAAGAGTCTGAAAACACTGACATTCTGCAACGACGCGGGCACACCGACGC